CCATTGCAAGTCCACCACAAGTCCATTGCAAGTCCATCACAAGTCCATTGCAAGTCCACTGCAAGTCCATTGCAAGTCCATTGCAAGTCCATTGCAAGTCCACCACAAGTCCATTGCAAGTCCACCACAAGTCCATTGCAAGTCCATTGCAAGTCCATTGCAAGTCCGTTTGCAAGTCCACCGCAAGTCCACCGCAAGTCCATTGCAAGTCCACTGCAAGTTCACTGCAAGTCCATTGCAAGTCCACCACAAGTCCATTGCAAGTTGACCCTATGGCCTTAATCTCTTGGGAATAAAGATTCGCAGGGGATTAGCATCATAGGGCACAGTTCCTTCTGTCCTGGCAGCAGGCAGTCAAATCATGTGGAGGATTTGACGTACCATGGATCTAATAGTTCTCAGAGAATGCAGCTAGCTTGTAGCTCTCAAATAAGCCATCTACTGTGATAATCGGAGTTGTAGTTGCTGAGAATCCCATGCAAGTCCCATACAAGTCTTGCACAAGTCCCACACAATTCCCATGCAAGTCCCACACAAGTCCCACGCAAGTCCCACGCAAGTCCCACGCAAGTCCCACGCAAGTCCCATGCAAGTCCCACGCAAGTCCTGCGCAAGGCACATGAGTCCTCGACACTTCCTGAATTCTTTATGAATCCATGCTACCCATCCAAATCCTTCTATTTACCCAGGTTATTAGGCTTTGTGTGGGACTTGTGTGGGACTTGTGTAAGACTTGCACAGGACTTGCATGGGGCTTGTGTGGGACTTGCATGGGACCTGCATGGGATTCTCAGCAACTACAACTCCGATTATCACAGTAGCTGGCTTATTTGAGAGCTACGAGCTAGCTGCATTCTCTGAGAACTATTAGATCCATGGTACATCAAATCCTCCACATGATTTCACTGCCCACTGCCAGGACAGAAGGAACTGTGCCCTATGATGCTAATCCCCTGTGAATCTTTATTCCCAAGAGAATAAGGCCATATGGTCAACTTGCAATGGACTTGCAATGAACTTGTGGTGGACTTGCAATGGACTTGTGGTGGACTTGCAATGGACTTGTGGTGGCCTTGTGGTGGACTTGTGGTGGACTTGTGGTGGACTTGTGGGGGACTTGCGGGGGACTTGCAGGGGACTTGCAGGGGACTTGCAGGGGACTTGCGATGGACTTGCAGTGGACTAATCCCTTGCAAATTTTTATTCCCAAGAGATAAGGCCATAGGGTCAACTTGCAATGGACTTGCAGTGGACTTGCAATGGACTTGCAATGGACTTGCAATGGACTTGTGGTGGACTTGCAATGGACTTGCAGTGGACTTGCAGTGGACTTGCAGTGGACTTGC